CTAGGGATTTTGAGCATTTCTTCATGTGCTTGTTAGCCATCTGAATGTCGTCTTCGGTGAAGTGCCTGTTCACATCCTGTGCCCATTTTTCTATTGGATTATTTACCTTTATCTTTTTGTGGTGGAACCTTGTAGTAGAATCACTGGGGAAATTTTTTTTCTTTTCTCACATTTTTTAAAAAGTACTTACTAGTAGTTACAATATTTCACAATCTCATTAGCAGTGCTTGAGAGTTCCTATAGCTTTACTTTCTCACTGGAATTCGTTGGTTTCTATTTTTTTAGAGAACTTTGCCATTACTGTTGGAGGGAAATCACATCTTACTCCTGTGAATTTGACATGCCTGCCTCTAATTGCAAATGACCATGAAATTTTAAATATCTTTCTTTTTTAAGTGTGTGTGTGTGTGTGTGTGTGTGTGTGCTGTCAAATCGAATCTGACTGGCAAAGGAGGAGATTGGCCCTTCTTCTCCAGCAGAGCATCTGGTGGATTCAAACTGTGTACCTCTGGGATTGGAGTGCAGCTTCTTGCTACCAGGCCACCAGAGCTCCCATAAATAGCTTTCTTCATCATTATAATTCCTTATTGGGTAAAATGTCTGCTCATGTCCTCTGACCTCTTTTTAAATTGAATGGCTTGCTTTTGAGTTATAAGGTGTTAAAGTTTTCTATTGGATATGTGGTTGGAAAATATTTTATTCATCTTATAGATTCTTCTGTCTGTAGAAGTCATTTGATGCCTTTGAGAATTATGTTTTACAGAAAGCACTGTTTATAATCTCTTATTTGTGTATTTTTTTCTTCCCCTTTACTGATTTGCATACATTCATTCCTTTACATTGTGATTTATATCATTAATTACTATCAAAATATGTCTGTTTTACAATATTGCCTTTTTTATTGGTATAATTTTATATTAAGTTTGCTTTTCATACTGAATGGTATTTACTATGTTTCATTCATGCATAAAGAGTTTCAAACATCTTTTTTTAAAAAATTTCCTGTTATACTTCACCGAAGACAACATTCAGATGGCCAACAAGCACATGAAGAAATGCTCAAAATCCTTAGCCCTAAGAGAGATGCAAATTAAAACAACTATGAGATATCATCTCACCCCAGTCAAAATAGCAAAATTTAACAGAACAG